AAATCTTTTGCCTATATTTTATAGGTTGTCTTATTGAGTGGTAAGAGTTCTTTATGTATTATAGATACTAGTCCTTTGTGTTATACATATTTTGCAAGTATATTCTCTCATTTTGTGACTTGTCCTTTCATTCTTTTAAGAGTATCTTTTAAAGATAAAAAGTTATTAATTTTGAAGTCCCATTTATTGATTTTTTTCTTTTATAGTTTGTGCTCTTCTGTCTTATTGAAGAAATCTTTTGCCAAACTAAAGATCAGTAAGCTTTCTTATGTTTTCTCCTAGAAATTTTATAGTTTTAGCTGTTAAATATAATTCTATGGTCCATTTTCAGTTAATTTTGTATATTGTGTGAGTTAAGGGTTAAGGGGTTTTGTTTTGTTTTGCTCAGGGCTTGTTCACTTGTTCCAGCACCACTTATTGAAAAGATTATCCTTTCTCCACTGAATTGCCTTAGCAATTTTGTTGATAATCGACCATATATATGTCAATATATAGCCAATATACATCCCATAGTGGATCTATTTCTGGACTTTCTATTCTGTTTTATTGATTGATTTGTCTTGTTTTTATGCCAGTATCACACTGTCTTGATTACTGTAGCTTTACAATAAGTCTTGAAATCGGTTCTTCTTTTTTTTGGTTGTTTTGGCTTTTTTAGTTCTTTGCCTTTTCATATAAAGTTTAGAATCAGCTTGTCAGTTTCTACAAAAGACCTTGCTGAGATTTTGATTGGGATTGCATTGAATCTATAGATCAAATTTGGGAAGAATTGACATCTTAACAATATTGAGTCTTTTGATTAATGAACACAGTATATCTCTCAACTTTAGGTATCTTTAATTTTTCTCTGCAATGTTTTATAGATTTCAGTCTTTAGGTTTTGTACGTCTTTTGTTGAATTTACCCCTAAGTATTTTGTATTTTTTATGCTATTAGTAAGTGGTATTTTTAAAATTTCAAATTCTGATTGTTGCTAGTGTATAGAAAAACAATTGATTTTTATTTATATATTTTTTATTGGCTTTGCATCCTGCAACTTTGCTAAACTCACTTATTCTAATTTCTTTTTTGTAGATTCCTAAAGATTTTTTACATAGATTATCATGTTGTCTGCAAATTAAGACACTTTTACTTCTACCTTTCTAATTGATATGCCTTTTATTTCTTTTTCTTGCCTATTGCACTGGCTAGAACCTCCAGTACAGTGTTGAATAGAAACAGTGAGAGCAGGCTTCCTTGTCTTATTCCTAATCTTAGGGGGAAAGCATTCAGTCTTGTGCCATCAAGTACAATGTTACCTGTAGTTTTTTGTAGTTGCCCTTCATCAAGTTGATGAAGTTCCCTTCTACTCCTAGTTTGCTGAGAGTTTTTTTTATTGTGAATGGAGGTTGGATCTTTAAGTGGGTTTTTCTGCATCTTTTGAGATGATTTATGATTTTTCTTTTTTGGTCTGATAATATGGTGAATTGCATTGATTGATTTTTGAATCTTAAGCCAATCTTGCATTCCTTTGATAAACCTCAATTTGTTATGATGAATTACCCATTTTATACATTGCTGGATTCAATTTGCTAAAATTTGTTGTTTTTGCATCTATATTTATGAGAGATATTGCTTTGTAGTTTTCTTATAATGAAAAGTTCTCTTATAATTCTTTTTTTCTGTTTTTGGTATTGGGATAATGCTAGCTTCCTAGAATAAGTTTTTAACTTCAAATCCAGTGTTTCTTCTATTATAGTGCTGAAGCGGCCCAAGAAACAGAATGGGGAGTTATCTGTTAACATGTTGAAAATATCTGATAAAATAGATGGGTTTCTTACAGGTATTTGTGTTTGAGTTGGCAATGCCCTGATTATTAGGTCTTATTGTCGAAATGCTAAAATTGAAGCTAATTTTTATATAAACATAAAGGCATAAAATGTATGAGGTAGAAAAGGAGTGATAAAAATTGTCTACTGTGAGCAAGTGTTGAAGAAATGCATGAACATAACGGCTGATAAGACAGTATATTTCCTGAGACTCACCTTACCTATATGCAATTACTTTCTATCACCCTAAATAAAATTTATATCCTTTAGCATTCCATAATAGCCTATCTTAGGCTGCATTTTCCCTTTCCATTCCATTCACATCACAGATTTCCTAAAAGGCCAATCTAGAAGCAATGATAGAATAAGTACTAGCTAAATTCTTGGTTTGTAACTGAGATTGAGAAGAGTTGAGCAGTTGGTACATCTTCGGGGTACTAAGTACTGATAGGCAGTACTTGTTTCTAACTTGTTCTTATTGTAGATAGGTGAGACTCTCAACCTGGAGTAAGTCTTTCCTCTCCCCACTGCCTGTTTTCACCTCTCCTGGTCCGTGAACAGTGGCTAGGAGGTTAGGGGAGGACCCTATATTGGTTTGAGTTGCAGGGTTTTCACCAGTGTGGTGTACTAATGGTTTTTTAACTCCTAGCTGCTAAATTTCATTTTAAAATGAAACCTTAGTGTGGAAGCCCAATATAGAAAACAGATATAAGCATGATTCTATTAGTATAAATAAATTTTGCAAATTCAGTATTTTAACATTCTAAATTTAATCAGAGCAATAAAGTTGTGATGAATACAGATCTAATATCAAGGGGTATGAATAACAGTTCAGTCATATCTTCTTCAGTAACCAATTTATTTGGTTGAATGACAGTATTGAGAAAAATCCTGACTTCATGGATGATTTAGTTCCATGTGACTTTTTTTTTTAACAGCTTGCCTTGCTATCTCAGAGTATTCTTCAAGTAAACTCATCCAGAACTTGAACATAAAGGAGTAGGAAATTGGTTTCACAGTTCAGTCACTAACAGTTTCTAACAAACTGCTCACATTTTTTATCATGTATAAAAAAATCAGACAAGAAAAGGGGGGTAAATTAAACAAATGCTGAACAATTGATAATGTCTTGATGAGACTGTTTATACGTTCCTTTATTGACTGTTGTTATGCTTTGAATGAGCACACAAGGCGAGATAATGCCCTGCCACTTAATTGCCTGTGACATCCATGTGCTCTAGTGCATTTGCTTGTACAACTTTTAGTGAGCAAATATTTGCAGGCCTGAATTGGTCAGGTGGAGGGGAAGGAGAACGAAAGACTGATGTCGCATTATAAACCTTGCTAATCAGTGACACATTTACAAGAAGTCCAAATGTATACGCAGAGATAACGGAGAAACTTCAAGATCTGCATGAAAATAAGTTAACCTGGCTATGGTATCTCTAGTGTGTTAATATTTGGTATAGAACTCATTTGAACCTGTATGTTTTTTAGTACACTTAAAAATATTTTTTTAAAAAACTATTATCAAAAGGATATTCAAATCAAATGCTTATGGAATTCCTGAAGCTATTCAGTGGGACCTGAGGGTTCTGTGGAACAGTTTGCAAACCACTCTACTAAACCATGTCATTCCACATAGGAGTGTTTTCTTCAGCTTCTCTTCAATTGTTATTTGAAATTAGAGTTCTAGTGAATTAAAAGGAAAATATATAGTCTCTATTACAATGTGTTAACATTTATGCATCTTTTAATTAAGAAATAATTAAGATTTCTTAATAATTATAGTAATTATATATAATAACTGTAATAATTATAAATAATTAAGAAAGCAATCAGTAGCAAAAATTGAGACGGAATTCACCTCCCAGATATGTATGAGACATATGTATAATTCACAATATATTCTAACATTTAAAATATCTTAGCACCTGCTTATTTTTCATGTTTCACATGTTCTTATCTTATGTGAGCATAAATGCATATTATTAATAGGTTGAAACTGAGACACTGAAAATTTGAGTTCCTAAGTCTGATGTTTGAAATGGAATTCCAGAACTCTCTTAGCTGTCACATGTTTATACAAGTTTTATCTGAAAGGAAGATGATGATACCCTTTGGCTTGTATAAAAACACACACATACTCACAGAGAGAGATAATGAAGATGTAGAGTTTTCACTAATGTTGCTTCAAAATGGATTCTTTCCTTCTCATGCAATCACTGTGGCTTTCTACCCCACACCTCTTCATTTCTCTCAATCAATTTCTTTACAATTTTCATTCATCTTTTCTCTCACTTTTACTTTATGTTTATTAGAACTCCAAAATGTATATTTGAAAGAGATCTTAGAGGTGATTCAGTCCTACTACATTTTACAGGAGTTCAGAGTGAAGTGATCTTAACCAGAGGCTGGCTGGAAAAGAGCTTGAGTGTGTGTCCTTGAGTACACAGATTTATATAAGGAAAAAAATCACAAAAATAGATATTTTCCTAACTGACCACTTTGGTTCTAGAATCTCTATATGGTCTTCTCTATAACTTTAAACTTTGAACTACTAATTGGCAGAAAAATATTCATATTATTAGTAATGACACATATATACATAAATAGAAATATGCCTCTGTTGTTAAGATCCTGAGACAGTGTAGAATAGAAACAAGCCTGGTCTTTGAGATAGGCAGATCTGAATTGAAATTTTAGTCCAGCCACCTACTAGCTGTGTGATCATGGGAAGTTACTTAGCCTTTCTAGGTCTCATTTTCTTCATCCGTAAAATAGGGAAATAACATGCATAAAGCTCTTTGTATGTATGAGGAGCTCAATAAAGTGTAGTCAGGTAAATAAGTTGGTTATAATGACAAAAGATAAAGGATATGTTAAAAGCATGACAGCTGAAAGTGAAAGGAGAGAGAAAAGGACTAAGCAGAGACTGTGGCAGAGCAGGAACGATGGGAGCTACGGTAGATAGGAAACAGCTCAACTTGTACTGAGTTGAATTCTAATATTTTAAAGTGCATTCTTTTCCTATTTTCATTAGTGTATATCTTACACAATTTTAACTCATATTTAACTTAAACATTTTCTTTTTGATAAAATTGTGTTTAAATTTTTAAGTGTCCCCCTTATTTGTTTTTATTAATGTTATTATTCTCTGAGTAATCACACACATTTTAATTTAATTTACAGGTGGCCGTTTGTTGCATCTGTTTTTTTGTCATTCTTCCTCTAAATTTAGTTGGTACAATACTTGGCCGAAATCTGTCAGGTCAGCCCAACTTTCCTTGTCGTGTCAATGCTGTGCCTCGTCCCATACCGGAGAAAAAATGGTAAAGAGAATGCTAAATCTTATGTGATTGTTTCTCACATGGTATAAATTCTTAAGGCTATTATGTATATATAACTTTTAGAATTGACGTGTATTTATAAGAATGACTATCTTAAGTTTGAATTTAAGAGTTCGTCTTTTTACTTTTTCCTTCAACCTATATTGTTAGGAGCAGTAACAAATTATGTCCTTATTTCACTTTCTGGATACTGGTGCCATTTACAGATAAATCAAATGCTTTAATAACTACACTTAATGCATACAAGTGGTGGGAACTGAAGTTGCAGCAGTTTTATTACTGCAGCCTACAGGCCAAATTTGACCTGCTACCTGATTTTGTAAATAAAGTTTTGTTGGAATATAGCTATGCCTATTTGTTCACATAGTGTCTGTGACTGCCTTTACACCATAGTGTCAGAGTTCAATAGTTATGACAGAGACCATAGCACCTGCAAAGCCTGAAATATTTACTATCTGAACATTTACAGAAAAAGTTTGCCAACCCCTGGCTTATAATTTCATTTTCCTTTCCAGATATTTTATTATTCTAAACAATACTGACCCACATTTATAGCCATATATATATATATATCATACCAATTGAGAGATGAATTAGGATCGAGACCAACTATAATTTACTGACTTATGTTTTTTATCTTCTCTTCTGGGATAGTATAGAATCTCTCAAATACAGTCTGTCACATTTTATGCCCAAATTGTGTTCTTGAGGACCTCCTATAATTCAAGATTAATCCTGATAAAGGATGACAAATATTTCTGTTTAACAGCTGAAGAGATTCTTCTATTGCAATAGTATAAACATAGTTTACAGTTCATTTGACCAATCAGCTTTGAAATTATGATTCTTGATGGATTTTTAATTTGGGATTTTTTTTTTCCTTCAAATTTTGGGCATAAAATGAGATGTCATTAATATGTTCACATTTCTAATTTTTGTAATTCAAATTTGAACAAAATGTGAACTCGTATGTATATTTTGCCTTTTAACATTAGTAAATCGAATATGTTAGTGCTGATTTATGCTATTCTGCATTCTTTATTTTCCTTATTCTTACCAGCAGACAAAAATAGAACTCTTACTGTACATTTATTACATTCTTCATCTCATTAGAATAGCTTTACAGTAGTCTCTACATAGTCATAATAAGGGATATATATTGAAAAGCCTCTGTTCCTAGATATTTTACCACATTATAAATATAACTTATGTTCAAGTACTTATATGAACAGTCTTTTGTAGACTTGGAGATATGTAGACATTTATAGAAATAAAGTAGCCCCTATAGTTTAAAGGAGAGTGATCTGTTCTAGTCTCAGGAATTCTCCGTGTTCTTTTTTTCTTAAATTGGTACTCATGAGAACTTTGGTAGTCTGTTTTTTAAAGTCAGTTATCTTTTTCAAATCAAGATTAGACAGTTAAGGCCCACTGATACCCTGATGTTCTTTCACCCATTACTGGGGAGGATAAGGTTAAAGGAAAAGCATAGTCAGAAATCACAGAAGTTCCTCTAGGTCACTAGGGCTAGTGAAGGAGAGGAAGGAACATGTGACCTTGCTAAGCATGGGTCACATTTCGGTGTAGGAAGGCTCATGTGTATCTTCATTTTCTTTATATAGTTACATGGGAACCAAAATCTGAATACTAGATCTGGCTCTCACTGACTGTCACCTTGGGCAGATCATTTTTAACCTCTGTGGGTCTTGGCTTCCCATAAATGGAGGGAAGGCTACATTAAATGATTTTTATGTTTTTTTTTCAGCTTTCAAACTCTTTGATTTTCTTTTCCGTTTTTCAGTTTGTTCATTCCATAGATAGTAGTTTAGTATCTTTTATGTGCCAGATACTGTGCTGGGCACTGGGAATACCTAGATGAATAGCTTCTACCTGCTGGGGTTTATGATCTAGAGAGGTATGATATGTATGTAATTAGGCAGTTCAGTGTAGTGTGGTAAGTGCTGCCATGGAGTTCTGTTCAAGAGGCAGTGGAAGAATGGGGGAAGGACCCACCTCTTCCTGGGAGACTTGGGGAAGGCTTTACAGGGAGAACCTTGAGCTTGCAGGAGAAGAATGAGACAATTGAAGGCATTCCAGGTGGAGAATTACCAATCGCAATCCGTAAATGTTTGTTGAGTTAATGAATGAGGTTTGAATTTTATTTTTTATTCATTCTTTGGTTCCATAATAACTCAGAACTTGTAATACCTTAATTGTATAATTCATAGGAAAAGAAATTACTGAACCAAGGAAAGCATGAGCAAAGAGACGCAAGGCCACAATTTGGGAAACATTATTTCAGATAGAGGTCTCAGGACTTTTCTTTTCTTTCCCTATGGCTTTCTGTAAGTAAATGGCTATAAAGTTTTTAGAAGTTATTGAGAGGTGTAAAGCAGAAGCAAACACTTAGAGTCTTTCTAGAGTTCTGCCAGTGGCAAGAATTTGTGTTCCCCAAATTCTTATCTTGGCCTTTAATGCTGGAAAGAATTTTGACCATAACCTGTGGCTAATTTGGAGTCCCACCTCTGTATTGTGCCTCTTTGAATTTTTGCTTTTCTTTTTACTGGTTTGTTTCTAGATTATTTTTAAGTACAAAACATCTGCTTTCTATTATCAGGATTTATATAATACAATATGAAAATCATACTAGAAGTCTACTGTTAATTTCAATATTTTCCAGGTTCATGGAGCCTGCAGTTATTGTTTGCCTCGGAGGAATTTTACCTTTTGGCTCAATCTTTATTGAAATGTAAGTTTTGGCAACGTATATGTGTTTTGAGGGATTTAATTGTAATTAGAGAATTTAGGAGTTAGGGTAGGTGTAGAATCATCAGATGGGAAGGCATCAAACAGAGTTAGTCTGTGAATTCCATGGCTTCTAGAAAGGGGTCTATGTAGTCTTATCTAAAGGTAGCTTTCTGCTCTATTCTCAAATATTCAGGTCAAGTTTCTACATTTTTGTATCATTTTCTAGACTTCTCTCACCTAGCAGGAGATCTTAGAAATCAAAGCGTGTGTGCCAGAGAATGCTAGACCAGGCTTTGATCACATGCAGGATATGAGGAATTACTGGTTTTTATTGTATTTTTAAAATACTTCTCAGAGTCCAGGGAACTAGGTAAACCATTACCTACCAGCCAGTCTAGATCACGACATTCTTGGATGCGTAGTCATTCCTAGTCTCCTCTCCTTGAGACCTGCAGGAATGCTGGGAAGTGTGTATGTGTTTGGTTGTGGGAAGTATGCCATCTTGTGCCCAGTTACCATGCTTCATATCTGCATCCTTGGTCATCGCTGCAAAATATAAGCCTTTCTTTTCTCAGCCTGTTCCAATGTTACTTGATGGGAATGCTCTGGCATTTTAGGCAAGGCAGTTCTTTATATGGGACTTTCTCAAGAACTGCAGTCATACACCTCTGGCTCCTGCCCATGAAATGCCAGTCATTGTGACCACTCAAAATTCCCCTGCACGTTTCCAGATGCCCTACTGCTGATTCTCTCCTGTACAGTGGACGCCTCCTTAACAGACATGGTTGGATCTGACAGTTGGTTAATTGAAAAAGTTGGCTTATGTAAGGGAATTATAAAAAAAGATAGATGCATAATATTCTATTTTAACTTAAATAAAGGTATATCTTTCACTGATTTTTTTTTTTTAATAAGGAGCCAAGGTCTTTTCTTTGATTTGTAACTGGTTGACGTTTCCATCATTTTTCCTTTGACATTCATAATGCATCTTCTGTGTTTTCAAGCCTTTTTAAAGTGGAGAAAGACATAAAGACCTGTCTGAAGCATTCTAAGTACAGAATCCTTCTAGATTTGTACATTTATCCCCCAGTCTTTTATAGCTCTCTCACCCACACCTAATTTTATAACGTTTTTTTAGTGACTCACCTTATTGAATTTTTCTAAAGTATTCAACGTAATTTTCATAGTAATCACACATCCTTTTTGCTCTCATGTTTATTGGTTTATGTAACATTTAATTAAGTTGTCTATTTACACTAACAAGTACAACTGACTTAGATATGGGCCATTCCTGGTGGTCAGCTACCAGCTGTTAGTGTGCTGTGGGCGTTAGTCAGTACCTTAGAGGGGTTGGCGTGCATGTCACTCTAGCTTGTGGTTTAATAAAGCCAGTTCAGGAACTTCTGTACTTCCAATCTGATACTGCTTTGTGTTCTCACCCTGACTTGACCTCCGACTATTTTTTTTCGCTCCTTCTCCTGTTCCTAATACCTTCTGGATCGCATCTCTTCCTGCTTTCTCAGGTACTCTGTTCCATTAGACAGCCTCTCTGCTGTATCTTTAACTTCTCCTCTGTTTGACCACCCTCAAACCCATTCTCTTCTTGGTAGCCACATTTTAAAAGTATCAGTCTGATCATGTTACTTCTTTGTGCTAGAGACTTCTCATTTTCATGAGGTAAGGTCCAAATCCCATAACATAGCCGTTAAGACTTTTTATAATAGAGGATCTGGTGCTGGTCGCTTCTCCAACCTCATGTGTTAGCTCTCACCCCTTCATTTGAAGTTCTAGCCCTACTGAATTACTTTGAGTTTTTCTAAATACAGTGAATTCCCTTATGTGTGAGCCTTTGCTGTTCCTGTGCCTGTCTCATTCTTCTAGTGCTCCCCACCCCCGACATGCCTTATCTGATTCTTCCCACTACCCCTCCCCCGCAAAGCCCCACCCAGCCAAACCAGTAAGATGCCCCTTGTAGGTGCACTGATAAAGTACATCTCACAGTGCATCATGATTGCCCCTTCACTGGTGTTCCCCACCAAACAGTAGTCTCCTTGAGGGCAGAGACTTTGTCGTCTGTCTTCACAGTTCTAGTCTTACTGCTTCTCTGATATGTGGGAGGGCCTCAGTAAATATCTACTGAAAGAATGAGTGATGAATAAGGGAACTAACAAACAAAAGAACAAGAAAAAGAAAAGAGGCTAAAAGACCCTTTTCTAATTTAATGATAACTTGGGTAATGGAATTAGAGTGAGGAGTCTTTTTCTTAGTGTAAAATCTTAATGCCCTTTCTCTTACTGCTTCTGAAAATAGCATGAAGGTTTTTTAGGCTTTCTTTTCCTAATTATTTTTAGTTTCTTAATTTTATACATTATTATTCTCTCAAACATATTTTTTTATTAGGGTGTGTTATAAAATATAAAATACTTGGCTTAAATAGTGTTGTATCTAGAAAAAAATGAAAGAATGAGGGAATTGACTTTATTTTACAAATATAAATTTTTAGCTGTTTTCATTTTTCTTTTCCACAGTTTACTCCTTTAAACTTCTAATTTGTTCATTTCTATTATCTATTTTTAGAGATGAATGCCCTAGTAAAGAATCTGTTCTTGAAAGATTATCCAAGGAAATGTTTTTGAGAGAATTTTAGAAGATTTAATAGATGAAAAAGGATAAGGGAAACTGTTGGAAGTTACTTGAAAGAAAAATATTGAGATTTTAGTGAGAGAAAGTGAGAACTAAGATGTATGTGAGATGTAGCAAAAGCAGGGTGAGCTTCAAGAAGAAAGACTAGAAAACTATGTCTTCATTGCACTTTATTTAGGTATTTCATCTTCACATCTTTCTGGGCATATAAGATCTATTATGTCTATGGCTTCATGATGCTGGTGCTGGTCATCCTGTGCATTGTGACCGTCTGTGTGACCATCGTGTGCACGTACTTTCTACTAAATGCAGAGGATTATAGGTGGTAAGTCCTTATTTCTGGGAGGAACCTCTGGGGACCATAACATTTTAAAGTAAGATTCCATTTGAAGTGTATAAAGTGGAATAAAAGATTTGTCTAGAAATTTTGGTACTTAAGATAGTATAGGGATTTTTTTTTCAGTTATAAAGACGATGAAGATTTTAGAGGAAAAATCACATCAGTCACAAAAATGTTTTTTGTATTATTGAGAGTTACTATATTAGAAATATTTTTACAAAGTGCTTGATGTGGAAAGAGCTTTATGAGGAAGCATTGGTCCATTTTAAACACAAAGAGACAGATCTGAAAAAGGAAATGGTTTATTTAAGGTCACTTATAACAGGGCATCTGACAAAATTCAGGATCTCTCCTTCCAGTTCTTAGACGCTCTCCCTGTTGATATATTTAAATGACATATATATACATTTGTTTTTAAGTATAATTTTATAAAATTATTTGCTTCACAATCTTTGTTTCATTGCCATTCATTCAAAAGAGGTTTTTTTTTTTCAGGCAATGGACAAGTTTTCTCTCTGCTGCATCAACTGCAATCTATGTTTACATGTATTCCTTTTACTACTATTTTTTCAAAACAAAGTAAGTGGAGACATTTTCTCATTTTGTATTTGGGACACTAAATTTGTCATTTAAATACTAGAATTTAAGGCCTTATGTTGAATAAAAATGGATATACTATTTATAATTTTTTTGTTTTATTTCAGGATGTATGGCTTATTTCAAACATCATTTTACTTTGGATATATGGCGGTATTTAGCACAGCCTTGGGGATAATGTGTGGTAAGTTCTGAAATTCTTGGAATATCATGAGTAAATCTTTGAGTGTTTCAAAATCAGAAAAATACAGTAACTGGAATTAAGAAAGTACATTCTGTTGTTTGATCAAGAACACCAAAATAAACTCGAGTCTGATATCAGTCCTTTTGACTATTCCTCAAATCCTAACTTATCACCTCATTGACTTCTTTTTTAATTTTCTGTTCCTAATAATTCTGTATTGCGCTATTTTCCATACCACAATTAGTTTCTCATTTATGTTGAGAATTGCTGTTTTTTTTAGCTTAGGTTCCTTGGAAAAGATTATGATGTAAAGAGGGTAAGGTGTTGGTGGAATGGTTTCTGTTTGGAAGGTTCTCTGACTGTTCATGGAGGTAACAGTGTCCAGGAAGCAGCACAGTTGACTGGTGATGAGTACACACTTGAGTGTCTACAGACTGGGCTAAAGTTCTGGCTGTGCCACATGTATGTTCTGTACCTTGATCCAGCTCCCCAAGCTCTCCAAACCTCTGTAAAATGAGGATAATACCCCTGTTTCATGGGTTTATCATAATCTTCCATTCAGTGGCAGAGATGATACTTATCACCATATGACAGAGTCTCCAGCATGTGTGAAATAGCTAGAAAATAAAGAGCTTTTGGAGTAGCACGATAAATGGAAAGAGCATGGACTTGAGAGCCCGAGTTACCTGGATTAAATCTCCATGCTGCTGCTCACCTTTTTTGTGGCCATGGGAAAGCATGTTAACCTCTCTAAACCTCATTTTCTCGTCTGTAATACGGGCATTTCTTTCCTAGTAGTAATTTGTATTGTAGTAGTGTCATGTGTGTAAAGCACCAAGCGTAATGCAGGTCTGTTATTAGGTGGTAAGAGAGAGCCAGTTACATGGGAGACATGCTGGGGAATGGGAAGAGCTTGGACTTTGGGGTCAGTCAGTCCTGGGTATGAATCCTCGTGCCCCTACTTAATAGCCATATTACTCTGGCCAAATCATTTAACCTTTATTTCTCATCATTCTCATTTGCAAAACAGAAGTAATACCTACCTCAGAGGGTTGTGAGGAGGATTCAGAGATTGAATGTGGGTAAACATCAGGTAGATGGCAGATGCTCAGTGAGTGGTGGCTGCTGCTGTTACTGTATTGACGAGGGCTAGAAGTCTTGGGCTTCCTTCTGTTCTGGGATTGTGTCTCTGTTTGTGTAGTTTCTTTGGGTTTCTATACCTTGTGTTTTCACTCAGAGGAATTTCATGACACTGAGTCCAGGCAGAGGTACCTTAAGGGAAATGCATACAAATAACTCACTTCTTTTTGGTTTCAAGTTTTTACTGGATAAATGAGGCTAATTCCCTAGTTACCACATAGGAATAATATAAGGCTTAAGTACTAATCACTGGAAACATTTCCAGATAGTGTATAATTCAGACCCTTCTCCTTTCTCTATTATTTGCCATTGACTTTTTTTTGGATAGTTCCACCTTTAGCTACAGGGTGGGCTATAGAATAAGTAAGATATGATGATCTTGTTAAAAGCTAGGTCCTGGTATGACATTTGTGGACCTCTTTGGGGTACCAATATTGCTTTTTACCTCCATCAAAAGAATCTGTTCTGCAGATTGGTAGTTGCCAGAGGCATGGGGTTGGGGAAGTGGGTGAAATCTGTGAAGGTGGTCAAAAGGTACAGACTTCCAGTTCCAAGATGACTAAGTTCTGGGGATGTGATATACAGCATGGTGACTAGAGTTAACAATACTGTATTGAATATTTGAAAGTTGCTGAGAGAGTAGATCTTAAAAGTTCTCATCATAAGAAAAAAAATGTAACTATGTGAGGTGATGGATGGTAACTAAATTTTTTGTGGTATTGTTTCACAGTATATACATATATCAAATCATTATGTTGTGCACCTTAAGCTAATACAGTGTTTTATGTCAATTAAAAAAAAAGAATCTGTTCCCTTCATATATACCATGTACGTGATCATGTGTGCATACACACAAATGACGTTGCCTGTAAAGTCGTAAAACTAATTCCACGACCTGTGAGGGAAGACAGTTCTCTATGTTATTGTCACATGTTTTCTTTATAGCTGCTATAATAATCAATTAGTTAACCAACTTTGAGGGAAAGATGAATAAGAACTGAAGATTAAAACTAGATTTGTGTCGTGTGGGAACACCCTCGTGTATCCCCAGGCAATCAGAAGGTTCTTTGAGTATTACTGGCCATCCGTCCTTCAGAGTATTGCTCACGGAGCTCCTCTTTATTTAATCTAAGATCTTTCTTGATCATCACCAGCATTCAGTGAGGTGTAGAATCATGGGGTTATGCAGAGGGTTAATTTTTTTTTTCCTTGACACTTTCTATATGTGATCTTAGGAAGACCTTGAGGTAATATCTTGACATTTACAAGGAAAATGGAATGAATTTATCTAAATTTTTTGAGTGCTTTTCCTGTTGAAATTTCCTCTTGCTGCCTGAAAATCTTGGCACATTTACAGTCCCCTGCTGTTCTGGCAGTGTTTCAGCATTTATTCTTACTGGGTTTATATGCCTTCAGTGTTAATATATTTTGGGGGGGAGGGGAAACAGTTCAGATTGGAGCTGATTAAAATGTCATCATAATACAAAAATTATACATACGCATCAGGTTATGTTGCTAAAATGCTTTTTTTAGTCAGTAATTGAAAGAAAAATATTTATTGATTTTTTTTTTTAAATGTAGAAAAAAGAAACGACTATGTTAAGGTGGGAAATAATTAGAATTGTTATAGTCTTTATATTTTAGGCATAGCATATTCCCAAGACATTTTACTTTTCTAGAGAGCATATTCGGTATCCTCCTTTTATAAAGTCATATTTTTATAAGCTTATTCTTAAGATACTCTTAAGATTAGGAAAAATGATTCTCTAGGTTAATACTGTTTTGCTTTTAAGCATATCTCTGCTCAAAGGGGAACAATGTTTTGTAGGTCTGGAAAATTGGATTTGGATATTGGGCTAGTGCTATATTATACCAGTTAAATTTTTGATTCTAATTAAAATTTTGTAGATATTTTTATGTTCTAAGAATTCAGGCTTATTTTTACAAAATTGAATGACTTTTTTTCTTTTTTCTTACCTTGTAAGGACTTGTATTATAACTATTTAAAAATGAATTATCACTATTTTCAAGTGTAGTATGATTACTTCATATTATAAAGTAAATGTCTATTCATTGCAAAAATAATCGGAAATAGGTTTGCTTTGTATTTTGGTGGGTTTTTTGATATTTTTAATATTTAATTTTGGGAAATTTTAAAATATATACAAAAAGAGGATCAATTTTATATATATAGTGAGTCCCCGTGTACCTAACACACCTAATGTCAGTAATTATCAACACAGGGCCAATTTTGTCTTATTTATATTTCTACCTTACCCCCTTTTATTCTGACAAGAATCTTGGATCTCATGTCGTTTCAACTGTAAATGTTTCAGTGTATATATAAATATACATAATATTTATATAACTATAATATATTTCAGTATATATATATAATTCCTTTATACGCTCAAATATTCAGTTAGTATTCAGATTTACGCCACCTGTCCCATTTTTCTTATAATACATTTTGTTTGCATCAAGATCCAATTAAGGTCCATGCATTTCTTGGTTAAAATGTCTTTTAAGGCTCTTTTAATCTATTGATATTCTCTCTCTTTTCCCTTGCAATTTATTTAAGAAACTTGGGTTTTTGTTTGTTTTAATTCCTGTAGAGTTTTCCATACTCTGGATTTTGCTAATTATATCCCTGAAGTGTCTTTTAATGTTTCTCCATGTGTTTTCCCCCATATTTCCTGTAAAGTGGTAGTTAGATCTATAGCTTGATTATACTCAAGAATTCTTGTCCGAGAATACTTAACAGGTGGTTTGTAAAGTTTTATCAAGAGGCACTTAATGTCTGGTTGTCGCTGTGAGAGTTAGCAGTCATTGATAATTATTGCCTAGCTCAAATAACTCATTAGTGGTTATAATATTCTAATTCTGTTGTTCTTTTTATATTTATTAGCTGAGATACTTCTCTAAGGAGAAACTTTCTTTTATCAACCATTTGGTTACCTCGAGGTACAGTTCATACATAGGAAAGGCAAAATAGACTTATTTCTCTCCTTTCATATACCAGTCAAAGATGACTGATTAGGCTTATGTATGTTTGTATCATTATTAACTCATGGAAGATTTACTTTTAAATAATATTGGGCTTAGATGGCAAATTCCTAAATGCAGTGGAGAATCCTCTCTATGACTTGAACAACAGCTATCTTATTCTAAAGATCCCTTGGTATTTGCAGTAAAGAACTATGCAGTTCATTCATTCATTCCACAAATATTTATTGAGTACTTTATCTTGTGCCAACCATTCTTTTAGGCACAGGAGGTAGACACTTAATTTAACAAAACAGACAAGTACCCCTGCTTTCTGGTGTTTAGAGCTGCATTTGAGGCTGATTACTCAAAAACAACATTTCAAAGCTCCTGACCTCTTGCTTGTCTCTCTTTTCCATTCCCCCAAATATGTCTTCCTTTTTGTCCATTCTCTACAAATTTGTCTTTCTTGTCCATTCCCTCAAATATGTCTTCCTTTTCGTCCATTCTACCTTCCTTTCTGTCCATCTCTACAAATATGTCAGCCACACAGCTTCTACAATTTAAACATAAAAAAGAAACCATCGGAAAATGCCTCTTGTCTAGAGCTTCAAATGCCGTTGGGCCATGGTTCTCAGTCCTTCCCTGAGAGAATCCCCAGTTGATTCTTACTTACTTATCCATAACGTATCTCATGGTTTGGGGGACATGTTAATATTGTTTTAATGACCTAGAATAATGCATGCTCAAATTTTAAAAAGACATGTTTTTTCATTTAACAAATTTTTGTTATTATCAAGTTATTCTTACTTTATGAGAGATGTATTTTAATTCATATGATTATTATATGCATAATAATTGATACTTAATTCTAAAAATATTACATCAGGTCAAACTTGGTGTACGACAGTAACAGGTGGTTTGCAAAACAAGTGATACAATTTTAATATGTTTAGAGGAATTACTAACATAAAGATTTTATCTTGAAAAAAGAATAACTTTCCAGAGCAGAGCATTCAGTGTTTGTAAATGATGGTTACCGCTCTGTATGTATTTGTTTCAAAACATCTTATTTTATCTTTACAGGAGCAATTGGTTACATGGGAACAAGTGCCTTTGTCCGAAAAATCTATACTAATGTGAAAATTGACTAGAGACCCAAGAAAACCTGGAACTTCGGATCAATTTCTCTTTCATAGGGGTGGAACTTGCACATCAAAAAAAGCGCAAGAAGAGATTTGGGCTTTAACACTGGGTACTTTATGGGTCTCTCTTTTGTGGATGACTTAAAGTAACATCTATTTCCATTGATCCTAGGTTCTTACTGACTGCTTTCTCCAGCTGTTCACAGCAAATGCTTGGATTTTATGCAGTAGGCATTACTACAGTACATGGCTAATCTTCCCAAAAACTAGCTCATTAAAGATGAAATAGACCAGCTCTCTTCAGTGAAGAGGACAAATAGTTTATTTAAAGCATTTGTTCTAATAAAATAAATAGAGGGAAACTTGGATGCTAAAATTACATGAATAGAAATCTTCCTGGCACTTAGTGTTTCTACGTTATTGAAAAATGATGTTCCAGAAAGATTACTTTTTTCTCTTATTTTTACTGCCATCGTCAACCTATTGTGGGACATTTTTATATATTGGATCTAGGTTCTTTTTTGACCTTTTTTTTTTTTTTTCAATTCAAGTGCATCCTTTTTTTTAAGAGAGAGTTAAAAAATATTAAATCCTGCATGTAATATATCTGCTGTCATCTTAGTTGGACCAACTTCCCATTTATTTATCTTAAAACTATCCAGTTACATCTTAATTCCATCCAAAGAAGATACAGTCTGAAGATAGAGGTGTACTTTCTACAATGCAATTTACTGTACAGTTAGAAAGCAAAGTGTTAAATGGAGAAGATATTTGTTTTTATTAAACATTTTGAGATTTAGATAAACTACATTTTAACTGAATGTCGAAAGTGATTATCTCCCCCCCGCCAAGTTAGTCTTACATCTTTTTTGGGTTTGAATGAAGGTTTTACATAAGAAATTATTAAAAACAAGGGGGGTGGGTAATAAATGTATATAACATTAAATAATGTAACGTAGGTATAGATTCCCAAATGGATTTGGATGTACAGATTGACTACGGGGTACTGTTTTCTGATGATGATTGGTGTAGAAGTGTGTGAATTGGGGTGGCTTTTTACATCCTGCCTACCACTGCATGAAACTTTGGGGTTTCTTCAAAATGTGCGTGTTATACTTCTTTTGGGAGGGGGGATTGTTTTCTTCTGTTTATTTTCTGAGACTCCTACAGGAGCTAAATTTGTAATTTAGAAACATTTAATTTTGTTAATCCTGTCTGGGGCACTTAAGTAACATCTAGAGCGTTACTGCTTTAGAAGGTTAAAATAAAATTTCCTGACCAAATTGTTTTGTGAAAATAGATGTGTTTGCAATTTGAAGATAACTTTTCAAAGGGCAATATTACTGAATACAATTTTTTTAATATACTATAAACTATGCTTTTCTAATACAGGGGACCCACACTTTAAAAATCCCCAAACTTGCTTACATCTAGATTATCCAGTACAGTCACAGAGTAAATGACAAGCTCTTTGAATGAAATCGTGGCACAAAATCTGTTCAGGTTGGTGTACCGTGTAAAGTGGGGATGGGGTAAAAGTAGTTAGCTTACTATTGGATGAGCAAATAAAGGTTACAGTTTTCTAAGAGAAGTGATTTTAATTTTGAATACATCTTTCTGGAACTATCCATAATGTGAAGTTTTCCTAGAACCATTCAGTTTCTAGTTTAATAGTTTGCTATGCAAATGACCACCTAAAACAATACTGTATATTGGTATTTTTAGAAAGACTCCAAACAGCTATATATAAACCTTCATGCCATTTATAGTTATGTAAGATGTTTTCATTACAAAATATGTTTCTATAAATTGCTAGACTCGGCATCCTATTTTGTGGCATGTAAGGATTATAAAGAGTGAAAAGTTTGATTTCTTACCACTTAAGTATGCCTGAACAAACAGAAATTGGATCAGAAGCTGTAGGTAAATTTTCTTCTTCAAGCCAAAATGTTATATTAAATATTATCTACTGGGTCTTCCATTTTCTCTTACTTCTCATTTGCCTTTAAGATCTTATAAGAAAAGAAACTAAAAGTCAATATTTAGTGGCTTATATAATATAACTTTTTAACTACATATAAAGTACTTATAATAACATACAGGCTATCTGATGAAGCATAAATTGGACAGCGAGCTTTTGTCTTAATAAAATGAAATTTGTTTCTCATGAGTCTTGTGGTAAGATGTAGGCTTTTTAAGGAATGAGTGGTTTAGCTGCTTTCAAGTACACTGATTCTTTTTACTAAATTGAGCTCTATTTGAAGTTCTTTGGAATCTTCAGTGAAAAATAATTTTGTAATTTCCAAATACATTGAAGAGCTCCATTAAAATGCATATAAATCACCCTGAAAAGTCTTTTAGAAAATATGTATTGGTTTATGACTTCATAGAGGGGCTGGATGTGTGTGTGTCTTGAAGAAGATGTAATCCACAAATAGTTTAGCTCCCTAGCTCTCAGTTGTAGAGTAGTAAAATAGAATATTATTTAAGTTAATTAAAGGGTGAGGTTTTTCTACTCCATTAATGCCGTATATCTGTCTTGCATTTGTTAACATTATTTGCTCGACTTATCAGCTGATGCTTTGAACACTATCAAAAACTAAATAAGGATACACTTTTCCCTTGTATCTATAAGCATGCTTCTGAAATTTAGCTACACTAGTAGTTGACACCATCATACATATATCCTAGTACGCAAGTAGGATGAGGTGGAAATATGACGGCTGGAGGGATGGTAAAGGATTCTTTAGTGTATCATGTTGGGCTCCTAGATTGTACTGAGTTTGCCCATAAACCAAGCCCCATACTCTTAGAATTCATCATACCCTGGTGATATCTGAACCCAGTAAATGGGTATGCTTGGGTATTTTTCATTGAGAGTGGATGGACCTCTTTAAAAAGGTGGTTGCTGCAAATTCTAGTTCTTCCAAAAGCCACTTTATTTAGGGTGTATCCACAAATCATATTCATTTTGATAAAGCTTTTATTTCTTAAATGTTTACTAACCACCTCATGCCAAATGTTTTGCAACTAAATATTATTTTAAGATTTCCTGAATGTAAAAAAGAAAAAATGTATTAATGTAATTTGTTCAGGAAAAGCTACATACTGAAGGGCTTCTGTATATGAATTCTGGGAAAGAAAAACCTATTTGTAATCCATACATTGCAGTTCCATCGGGTTTTAAGTTTAGATTTTAGCATGTCTTAGTGCTTCATTCTATTGATTTATTGGAACACGTAATAAATAGGAGTAGTGACGTATGACAACACATATTCATTAATTTATCATATCTTCATAAAAATTGCATAGTTATGAAGCTACATTTTAGCAATCAAGATGTTAAAGAGATCAGAGAAGTGAAAATTTATAAAGATTGTTTGGAAGTGTGTACATAAACAGACTAGACTAGATTTAGATGTAGAGTAGATCAGAAAGTTAACATACAGCTGCAGAAATTTTGTAAGATTTAAATTCTGTATGAGGAATAACTCTAGTTCTCTCCTATGAGCATTTTCTAAAAGCCATCTGATTTGACTTTCTTGTTGGAGCTGTAGACAGAATTGTGCTAAGACAAAAGTAAAAATTAAGTTCATATTTCACTGTATTAGGAAATGAAAATAAAACTGTTGGGAAAGCTGCTTACGTTGAAGTATTGATGAGCTAGGCTTGCTGATAATTGACTGATAAAGCAGCATTCGGTGTGTTTACCACAGTTCCTCAGGTTAGGTCATTTGAAAGTCAAACTTATAAGTAAGGGCTTAAGGCAAGGAAGAAATAACATGGAATTCTATTTGAAGGACGACAAAATATACTTGGAAAAGCAGTATATTCCAAGTAAAATCCCACTTGGGCTTTTCAGCTATTTCAAACTTGAATCTATAAATCCCCACAGAACACGGACAATCGGTGACAGAGTTGGAAGGAGACACTGCTCAGTGATTACTTCTGATTTGTACACACCCTTGGTTTGTGGAGGCCATATTCCAACTGGCTTTTTAGTAATAGAAATCCAGTATATAATGTATCAAATACATTTCAGGTTCTAATCTAGTCTGTTAATCTAACTGAAGTTGGATTTTTTAAAAAAGTAATAAAAAGTTAAATGTACTTCCCTTGGATGCTTTCTTTCTTTCTTTTTGAAACACATGAACCAAGCATAAGGGATAACCCATTATTATTGGCATGCATTTGAAGAGATTACTGATAGCTTCCCATAGTTAAATAAAGCAGGGGTCAGCAGACTTTTTCTGTAAAGGGCCAGATAGGAAATATTTGAGGCTTTGAGAGCCATACAGTCTCTGTCACAACTACTCTACTGTTGTAGTACAACGGCCGTAGTCGACAGTACATGAACTAATGGGCATGCTGTGTTCCAACAGAACAGCAACAAAACAGCCAGTGGGCCATAGTTTGCTGACTCTTGAAATGAAGGATTTAAAATTTAACATTTGATTTTTCTGTCAACTTGATACTTTGAAAAAGAAATTAAATGTACAGAAAGTTGAAAGAATGGTACAATGAATAAGGTTTGTCTTTTTAAAAAAATATTTCTCTTTTATTGTCATTCTTTTGACTTTTTTTATGTACAAGCTCTGACTCCTACACTCAGACCCGACTACCCCTATGCCTGTCGTTCTCCTGATTGATAATACATTGCATTTGTCCAGTACTTATTACTTTTTCAAAGCAGTTTCACGTATGTTCCCTCAACCATCCTGTGAGGCTGACAGAGTAGACAGCTACATTTTATAGATAAGAAACTAGAGCAGCTACAAAGTCTCTTACTTTTAGCCCAGAAGTAATCAAGATTAGGGTCCTATTGTCTTGACTGCTGTAACTGTAAAATGGGGATGTCGTCTCTCCAGCCTGTGGAGCAGATAATTATGTAGAGATCACACTGAAAATGAGTGTTGCGTACCAATGGAAAGGGTTATTTTTATTGTGCTACATCAGAATCAGTGGTTAATTTCTCCAGGTCTGATTATACTTTTTGTTTTTTTATCTCCAGTTTTAACTAGTTACTTAAATCCTTGTCAGCCTTTTCTCGCCCTGATTTTATTAGCTGTCTCAGTTGACACCTAACACTTGACAATTCCTATTAGCCAAATAGTTTAAGTGGGTACAAATTTGGATTACTTTTGATCACTTTAATGAACACTTTCTGTCTAGCTGGAAAACTAGGGGTATAAGGGAATCTGTTTTACAGCCAGCTTCTGGATTTCAAAGAGAACTATTTTATTAAACTTAATCTACAGTTTAACATTAACAAAGGGGGGAAATAAGCCTACATTGGGACACACAGAGCCAATGGTAATGTAGTCTATAAATGTATTTACAATTGTTTTCAAAGTTGTGCATGCTTAAGGTGATAGGAGGTTCAAATTTAAAAAATGGAGGAGATGGTTGTAGGGAGAAGGTGATGTAAGTTCTTTTAACTGGCCAATGTCCGTGGTTATTCTTAGTGACTCAGTCTAAGCCACTAAGATTATGAAACTTAACCTTGAAGGTCAATGAAGGGAAGGGAGGGTCTTGAGAGTGAGAAATGGAGAGTGGGTGTAAGTTGGAGTTGGTTGGAGAGATCTGCTGGAGGTTATAGACCAGAAGTTAGGACACACATAAATAGATAAGTGTCATAAGTGTGGTAGCTGCTATAATAGATGTTGGCATGAGGATGCAGGCTGTGTGGTTATCAAGTTGCCCTGGCAAAGACATGGAGGTGTGAAGTAGCAAGGCCCTTTTAGGATGACTGCAAGGTGTTTAATGCAACAAGAGCGGGGAGATGGAGGTGGTAAGAGCGGAGGCTGGAAACATGCAAGGAAGGCCTGATGGTGGATGGAGGGCCCAGTGTGCCATCCTGAGAAGCTCAGATGAAGGTTTTGGAGAGCCACAAAGGGTTTTAAACAGCTGCTGAAATTGTAACTATTAAATATTTTTAATTACCTTCTCCGAAGAACTCAAAGTACCTTCTCAGTGATCAGTAATGTAAACGAAGGAATGAGCCAGCAGATGAGAGTGCCTGCTTTATTCTGGAGGTTCTGCTTCCTGCCTTGGAGGAGATGATGATGTGAAGTGGCCTGGAAAGGCAAAATGAGGAGAAGGTGGTCTACATGGAGTAGTTAAGGAGGATAAAACTTGGTAGATGTGGAGGGGTTTGAGAGCTACTGCAAGAGAACAGGGTCACTCAGTATATGGGTATAGATGGAATGAGTTGGGTGGACAGACATCTGACTAAAAAGAGGAAAAAGCTTGTATTCACTTGCAGGTTTTCCACAGGACCAGG